CCATTGAGACCCATGTACCCTGAAATAGGAAAAATGGGTTAATTCGAGGTCGTAAAATAGAGAACAATTATATAGGACCAAATTACCTCAGGAGTTCCAGACCACCAACTACGCATATGATCTACGGCAGCTTTAGCTGCAGACATTGCGCTACTAGACTTCCGAGCAGCCAGAACAACACCGCCTCGCTTCTGCACCGTAATCAAGAATTCCTTCTTAATCCAGTTGTCATCAGCTATAGCCTTAACTGCACCTTCATCTAAATGACCAATTTTCACAGTAGCATGCGCAACGTCAGGAAACTGGGTAACACTGTGATTTCCCCAAATAATAACATTACGAACGTCAGTTATAGGGATATTCAACTTGCGAGAAACCTATAGGTGTGGAATAAAGTTTAAGATAGATGGACAATTGCATAAGTAGTGTAAAAATATTACCTGGGCTAAAGCTCTGTTATGATCTAAGCGAGTAAGAGCGCTGAAATTCTCCTTCGGAATCGAAGGTGCGAAATGCGAACAAATAAGGCAATTCGTATTGGCAGGATTTCCCACAACAAGGACTTTGACAGTCTTCTTCGCTACCTTGTCTAGAGCAATTCCTTGTTCTTTAAATATTTTTACGTTAGCCTTTAATAAATCTTTCCTCTCCATTCCCTCTTTTCTTGGCATCGCACCAACTAGAATGGCGCAATCGGCATCCTTAAAGGCCACTAAAGGATCATCAGTCTTTACAAGACCAGCAAGAAGAGGGAAGGCGCAATCCTGAAGCTCAAGATCGATTCCATCTAGTAAATTGAGTGCAGGAGTTATTTCTAAAAGTTTTAGAACAACAGGCTGGCATATTGAAGCCAAAAAACAAACCTGCTCGGGACCAAATATATCGCCTCGTGCTATCATTGATACAAGGGAGTAGCATATCTGGCCAGCAGCACCAGTAAGTGCGACGGTAATAGACTAAAATAGAGTAAATAAGGTAGGCGAATAACTGACCATGGAGAAGCGTTGGAATGGAGAGTGTTAAAGATAAGCGTGTTGAGTGAGTTGGTGTGACCCAAGAAATAAAATAGTTAAGTAAAACAATATAAAGTGTAGTATAATTAAATAATTATTATTGTATTT